GGCCATTGCACTCCAATCTGGGCGACAGAGTGAGACTTCAACTCAAAGAAAAAAAAAAAAGGAAAAACATCTGTCAGGGTAGACTGTTGGTTTAAAAAAACAAAGAAGGTGGGGACTCTAGTGGACCACGCTAGGGAGACACAACCCACCCACCCCAGGCCTTGACCAGATGTGGGTTGCAGGCCAACCTGACCAGATCCTGGCATGGAACAGACACTGGAAAATGGCATCTTGGGACACTTGGAGGGATTTGAACATGAAGGGCTCTTAGGTGATAACATAAAACTGTTGTTACACTCCTCAGTGCAATCATGTGTGCATGGCATTGTGGTAGGTAGGAGAAAACTCTTTTTCTTGGAAGATATATGCTGACATTTCATAATGTCTAAAACTTACTTTTAAATAGTTCTAGGAAACACTATATAGAGAGAAAACAAATATGGCTGAGAGAAGGTGGTGGCAAAAATTAGTTCACTGTTGAAAACACAAAATTCTTTCAGCTTCTCTGTACGTTTTGAACATTTTCATAACAAAACCTGGGAAGAAACAATGATTAAAAAAACTCCATTGTCATCTGCTGGAGCTCAGATCTCACTATATTCAGGTAAGTAGGGGACACATTTTTGCAGTTTGTTTAACCAGTGAAGTTTCTATACACTGGGTAGACGTCTTGGCATGTTTAGCTCACCTAAGGAGCCCACTGTCCTTTCAGGACTATGGACTCAGCGGCAAGCACCCCGGCAGAGCCCCCCCATGAGCTCAGAAGAGAAGCCGCACTCCTCCCACGCCCGCTTCACCCCAGGACAGACCCACAGTCCCCATGCTCCCTGAGCTGGGAGTCCACGCTCAGCTTGGCTGGAGGGCTCCTGTGGAGGCACAGCTGGCAAGGTAGGCTCCCTCCTCCTAACAAGATGCACGCTGCTCCCAGCTGCTTCCTCCCAGGGGGCCTGGGAAGGCTGGCTGTTGGTGACTCAACTGTCCCCAGCTGTTTTCAGTAACCAGCCTGACTGAGTGTTCAAGCGCTCCATCCTGTGCTCAGGGCTGACGGGAGCGTTTCCGGAACACAGGTTGGGGCGGCACTGACTCCGTTTCTGTGGGACCCACCCAGCTTCTCGAGCCGTTGGCCATTGCGTGGGACGCACCGGGTAAGCCCACAGAGGGGTTCTGAGACAAGCCCTTGCTTTGTTTCCACGTGGCGAAAACTCAGAATCCTGTTGGTCCTTCAAGGGCTAGCTGAGAGGTTCTCTTGGCTGAAGCCTCCTTCCCCTTTTCCTCCCAGCAGGCTTCGGCACCCCCTGCTAGGGACCAGGTCTCTCCCCTCTTTCCACTGCATGGACCACGCTGCACTGTTTTCAGCTGTTCATATCATCTTTCCTACATTTTCCCACATGTCAGCATCGCCCTAGCATGGAGCCCAGCACATCGCCCTAGCATGGAGCCCAGCTTCAACAACTGGATATTGAGGCACAGCATGGCCCCGGGGCTGCCAGGGAGCCCACCTTGTGCTTGTACACCTTCCACCGCGCCTGCAGGGTCCTGGCGGCAGAGTCTCTTCTCCCATCAGAGCAGGGGGAGGAGGGCCGCGAGGGCCCCTCCTCACCTGAACCTGGCTCCAAGTCTCGCTCGGTCTGGCTGGGAGTGGGAGCTCGGAGTTCCTCTTGGGCCTGCAGGAAATGGAAGGTGTAAAAGGATGAGGAAGTCGGGGCAGGGACGATCGGGATCAGTGAGGGGACAGGATATGACAGCTGGGCGTGCCCATGAGATGAGGCTTCCTGCCGCGGAAGAGAGAGCATCTCCCGCACTGCTCACCACGGACAGAGACCCTCTGGGGAGATGTGTCTCTGGTGGTCCACAGACTCAGACTCTCTCACTCAACTCCCTGAACTCTGTCTGGTGGCCGTCTCCTGGGAGGAAGACAGGATGACGCCCCGACACACTTTCTAAACTCAGGCGCATTTTGTTATTGCAAAAATTAGCTGTTCTTCTGGGGTCCTTTTCTGGCTCTTTTTTTAGTTTAATCCCGTATTACGTAAAGAGTATTTCTGGGAGTAAAGGCAATATATTTCTTGCTTGATTTTTAAGGTCGAAAGAAGCAGGAATTGCTATTGTGACCAGTGCAATGACAATGATTTCTGCCACTTATGGCCCAAATTTATTACCACAGGACATGTCCCAGTGCTGAACTACTTTTCTCACACGAATGCGAGCTCAGTGAAGATGCGCAGGGTTGCAGGAAGCCCTCACAGAGAGAGAAACACAGAACTGCCCCAGGCCCATACCTGGCAGAACGCCTGGCATGGGGCCTGTCCACAGACCCCATACAACACACCCAGGACGGGCCAATCAGTGCATCCACTGAGTCTTGTATTTTATGGTGCTTGGACACTGGGGGGTCTCCCCAACCTTCCCAGGGCTGGTCAATTCCAAGAGATGGGAGGACTCCCCGGGAGGCACACTTCCCCCGTGTCCACACACAGAGCCCCCTCCTCCAGCTGGCTCCAGTGCCTGGAGGCAGTATCCCTCTGTCCTCATCGCCCAGGCCAGCGACGGGACAGCCAGGGACCAACCTGCAGCCCAGAGCCCAAAAAACGACCACCAGTGAACCTAAGCCGTGCAGCCTGCCTCCTTGGCTCCTGCTGCCCAGAGTGCTTCTGCGTGGCCTTGTGTGCCCCTGCTTCTTGGGGCCTGAGAGTGTCCGCCTCCTACGAACAGGTATTTCTGCATGTGCACGATTCAACGTTCCTGATGGAGACAAGCCTGCATTCATTTCAACACAGACAGCTGTTATCCGGTCTCTTCAGGTGTGTCACCAAGTCACTGCCAGCATTCCAGCCCTCAGCTTCCAAACTGATTCTGTAACCTAAGAGCCTCAGCTCCTTCCCTGGTCCTAACACATTTTCAGACCTCTGGTCCACTAACGCGCGACAAGCTGTCAGTGTGTGGGCCATGCCAGTGTGATCTAAAAGGTACAGTCAGTTCCTCAGAAGATAAATGAACATTTACTCACACAACTGCAGACAGCTAAAAAAAGGCCTACATTTTTCTGTGCTTATACATTCATTCCACTTAAACTTGCGATTAATCACTCACATTCGACTGCCGAGAGCTGAGTCCCCTACTCAGAATACAGAATACTCCCAATCAAGCCACTCTTCCTTTTCTTTAAAATAGAACATTTTAAAGCAAAAACTCCACAAAGTTAATACAAACTTATTATGAAAAATTCAGACACTAAAAGAAAGTAAAAAAAAAAAAAAAAAAAGCTTATAATCCCATCACACAGAAAAAGCTGTATTTTGGCAGTATTTTCAGACATTTTTCTAAGTATAATTTTTTTAAATAAAAAGAGATTAATGCTATATACTTTTTTGGGGCAAAGGAGATTATTTCCATCAAATAATAAGTCATAAGTATCTCACGTGAGATATATATAAAGATCCATTTTATTCTTTATAATGACTGTATAAGTAATGCACCATTAACTAGATGCACCACCACTTATTTGTGAAGTTCACACCTATGGCTTTTTGGTTTGCTACTGGTTTTTCACCACTGTCTTTTTTTTTTCTCTCTCTTTAGAGACAGGGTCTTGCTCTGTCACCCAGGCTGGAGTGCACTGGCATGGTCATAGCTCACTGCAGCCTCAAACTCTTGGGCTCAAGTGATCCTTCTGCCTCAGCCTCCCAAAGTGCTGGGAGTATGGGTGCAAACCACAGCACCCAGCTAATTTTACAATTTTTTTGTAGAAAGGAGGTCTTGCTACGTTGCCCATGCTGGTCTCAAACTCTTGGCCTCAAGTGATCCTCCTCCCAAAGCTCTGGGATTACAGGCATGCACCACCATGCCCAGTCTGTTTTTCACTATTGTAAACAAGACTGCAGTAGACATCCATGTGCTGACATCTTTGCAGGCAGGTTACTTTCTTTGACCCCACTCTTTGAGAGAATGATGTGAAAACTGGGATACTAAATTCTTTTCTGTCATTGATAGAAATCCCACATCTCAAGGTCATATAACAAGATGCAAAATAAAAAATACTGAGTGTAATCTTGACACCAAGCAAGACCCCCTAAAGCCTCAGTCAGAAGTGGCATAACTGATGAAGGAGGTCACTCCTTGAGGAAAGTCACTGTTTGAAGGGTCTCCACTGACATGGCCACTCTGCCTCGAGTGGACTTAGTGGAGGAGTCAAATCCCAAATTACTGAAATGAACATGGAGAAAGCAGCAGAACCCTCAGGAAGGGGGGACCCAGCAGCACTGAGCTAGAGCCTCCCGAGTGGCCAACACATGCGCATCCAGCGGGATGAGGACTCTACCCCGGGGTCACGGCTCCTGCTCTGTGTCCAGTTAGTGCACAGGGAGGAAGTCAATGCCACGGCGATCTTTCTCGTCTTCAAATCAACATGTTTATAACGCAAGAGGATGAACTTGCTTTTCTTTGCTTTTGGGCATCTATAGGAAACCTGAACTGGCGAGGAGAGAGAGGTGTCGTCAATAACGGGATGAACTCCAGAACAAGGTCATTCTTTCCAGTTTCGTTGTTGCACGTGGGAACCTTTTTTCCCCCTAAGGGATATATGACTTTGAGTGGAAGGTCTCAAACACAAGCAAAGACATCTGCGTTTATGTGTTGTTGAGCGCCTCTCTCAGGGGGCCGGACTGCCAGAAGCCGACAGATCACAAGTCAGTAAGCCCCGCTGGCTCAGTGTTCCTGAGAGCAGCTCCTTGGAAAACAGACGCAGAGCCTAAAGAAGACACTCGAGTCCAGCTCTGCCACACAAAATGCCACAGCTGGGCAAGAACAAGGTCCCAGGAATACGCTCGGCCTGGGTCACATCCATCAGGGCAGCGCAGACACTCAAGTAAGCACAGGGCTTTGTGGAAAGCGATGGCCACATGGAGAACGGCTAATTCCTTAGATGCAGGGACAGTGATTCTGTGTCACTTACAACTTTATCCAAAGTGCTAGAAAAGCCACATGGAAACGTGTCCGCAAGAACAGCAGAAAATATATGCTTTACTGTACAATAAAAAATTCTTTCCAGAAGGGATTGGGATGGATTCACATTGTCTAACCCTCACACTTGGTCAGCAGGATTGCCAGAGTCAAGGACACTGGACAGCCTATGGGGCCCAGTTAACATGCACTGAGAGGCCGGGCTCGGTGGCTCGGCCTGCAATCCCAGAACTTTGGGAGGCCGAGGCAAGTGGATTGCCTGAGCCCGCAGGTTCGAGACCAGCCCGGGTAACTTGGTGAGACCTCGTCTCTACAATAAATCAAAAAAAAACAACAAAACATGCGCTGAGAAAACCCATGAGTTTTTTTTCCCCTAATTAGTAGTGTTGTGGTTTTGTAACTAAAGATGTGCTCCTTACTTTTCCAAATTCCCTAACTTGCGGTATCCTTTTTTCTCTTGAGCTAGAGTAGATGTTCACATAGTCTCATGTATACTTAAGAGGAGGCCTTGAAATTAAGGACCCAGCCAAGTAAGCCAGCTTGGAGAGGAAAGTCAATTCAGATTTAAAACAAAACAAACAAAACCTCACACTGTTACTTTCCACTGACAGCAGTCAGTGCCCTGTAGCCTCAGGAAGCCCCAATCTCCTGGAGGCCAACGGCAACCTCCATTCGACCACGGCTACTGAACCATGTTCCGTTTCCTGAATGGCAGAACCCCATGGCTGCGATGTGTTGCCGAGGGAAGCCCTGCCATCCCGGTGGACCCCCAGGTACTGGTCAGAGCTTCAGCCACCAGAAGGGGGATCGCCGAAGAGGCCCTGCGAAGAGGCTGCCGTGACAAACCCCTCACTGTCTCTGTGTAGCCTTGTCCTGGACTCATCCCCGGCCAATGTGGTCTTACCGGTCGTCATTTGCTTGACAGCCTCCTCCTGGAGCAACTGCTGCTGCGGGCCTTTAGCACCTGGTCATTTGGTTTCTTTCTGAACAGACACAAGGTGACACCTGCCATCTGAAGGGTCCATCACCGGAAAAGGGGACTTGTGAGGAGGCGCGGCTAGCCACAGGAAGTACAAGTGCAGGTAGCACTGGGCTGACAGGGACCAGAAGGCAGCCTCGGCCCCTCCAGGGGGGCCGGGGGAAGCAGGGACTGACACAGTCACAGAGATGCTGCCTCCGCAGCTGCCCCTGGTGGCAAGCACACACACAGAGGGACTGGAAGGCAGGGCGGGTCCCGCCAAGCCGTCACTCGGTGCCACCCAAGTGCAAAAGCAAGTGACAGGCAGGGAAGGCACACAAGACCCACCCCCTGCCTAGACGTGTGCCCTTGGAGGCCTTACTGGCATCCTATTCCAGAATTTGCATGAGAGGGGAAATGCAGGTTGGCCAGTGCAGGAGGGCTTCTGTGAGCAAACTCACCCCTTCCCTCCGGGCTTTCCAGCTCCCTCCTCCTCAGCGACAGCCTCCCCACCGCCCCAGACCTACAGTCTCTACACATTCGAGGTTTTGGGAAGATCTTCACCCGCCAGCTCAACTACCTTAAGACTCAAAAGTCAGGTTAAGAAGTCAAGTCACTGACAAGCAATTAATTCAAAACTCCAGACTCCTACACATATGACATAAGTTATAGAAAACGATTGTGATGATAAAAGGAAATTAGACTGTCCATATCATGTTGGGTATGAAAATAGTCGGAACTGTCATGTGTCAGTGGAAAGTGCTGCCATGCTTAAACAGGAGATTAAACAAGGTACAGCCAGACTGTACCTCATGAGTGACTTCCATGGGATCACCCTTCTCTTCTTTCTTCCTTTCTTGTAGTTCTTCAAACTTGTTGGTAAGTGTTTGAATTTCCTCTCTGAGGTGGAAAGGGAAAAGATGACACCAGTCACCACGTGATGAAGGCTGCCACACAGTGGGATGGGGAGTCTACTTTTAGACAGACAGACACCGGACAGTGTGTGCAGAGCTGGTGAGGCCACATGTCCCTCCCTGAGCAGTGGGGGTCCCCAGCTAGGGCCCGACTGCACCAGAGACCCTGCAGGCGTGGGGACGGGGCTGAGGACCCAGGGCCCAGCACCTGTCTGAAACATCGCAAGAACCTGAAAAAGCATGCACTGCATAGATGACAGATAAGCAGGTATCACTGGGGTTATAACAAACAATATGAAGGAGAGGAATTGCAATTTACATCCTTATTACATTTTTTTAAGATTAGAAAATACAGTTTATTTAGAAAGTAAATTAGAAAGAGAGAGAGAGAGAAAGAGGAGATTCACCCCCAAGGCTGGGAAGGGGGCTTATTACAGATATTAAAGGCCAAGTAAAAGTAATTCATTTCTGCATACCTACCCTTTCTGATTTACTTTAATTCTAGCCTCTGACAAAGTTTAGTCACATTTCCCCTGAAAATAAAATGCTTCATACACTTCACTAATTTGTGTCTTACTAATTATTCTGAGTACTAAACATTACTGCTCAGATTTCTATTTACTTCTTTATTTTGAATAGGAGTTTCAATCTGTCACCAAGCTAGAGTGCAGTGACATGATTACGGCTCACCATAGCCTTCGCCTCCTGGGCTCAAGCAATCTGCCTGCCTCAGCTGGGACTATAGGCACACACCACCATGCCCAGCTAATTTTTAAATTTTTTTGTAGAGACGAGGTCTCACTATGTTGTCTAGGCCAGTCTTGAACTCCTGGCTTCAAGCAATCCTCCCACCTCAGCCTCCTAAAATGCTGAGATTACAGGCATGAGCCACCAGACCCAGCCTTACTGAGATTCTAGGTTTTTCTGCATTTAAAAAAAATTTAAGAAGCCAGGCATGGTGGCTCATGCCTGTAACACTAGCACTTTGGGAGGCAGTGACGAGAGGATTGCCTGAGCCCAGGGATTCAAGACCAGTCTGGGCAACTTGGTGAGACCTTGTCTCTACAATAAACCTAAAAAATTAGCTGGGCGTGGTGGCTGTGGTAGGTTGAGGCTGTGGTAGCATAATTGTGCCACTGTACTCCAGCCTGGGTGACAGAGTAAGACTCTGACTCAAGAAAAGAAAAAGAAAAAAATAATTGAGATATGATTTATGACACAAAATTCACCAACTTAAGCTGTACAAGTGAGTGGGTTCTAGCATATTCACAATGTTGTACAACTACCACCACTATCTAATTCCAGAACTTTCCCATCACTCCACAAGGGGGACCCCTGCTGTCGTGGCCACTCCCTACTCCCCCACTCCCAGCAACACCATTCCGGTTCACGGATCCGCCCGCCCTAGACATTTCCCGGAAGCGGAACCACATGTGGTGTGGCCTCTGTGTCTGGCTTCTCTCGCTGGGCATCCTGCTTCGAGGCTAATCCACGCGGTCACATGGTCAGAGCCTCCTTCCTTCTGCTCTGTGTGGGCAGACCTCACGTGGTGTAACTGCTCATCAGTGGCATTCAATCGGTTCCCCTGTCTGGCTCCCGTGAATGGCGCTATCATGAGAAGCATGGGAGGTGCCCTCGTGAGGAGGTTATGACCCCTGGGTCATCTTGACGAGGACCGCACAGGGGTGCGGAATCCCAGCATACCTGGGGTGGGATGCACGTGTGATTGGCTGTGGTGCCAAAGAGCAAACACTGGCCTCATCACGAAGAACCTTTTTCCAGAACTTGAGTTGTTATACTGAGGTCATAGACAACCACAAAGATTTTCAGGGGAGGAGTGACCTTGAAGCTACGCTGAGAACCAGTGGGGGTGGCCGTGTATAGCAGAGGGAGTCTGGAATCATGAGGATTCTCTTGAAACTCCAATTCAGGCCACTTACTTCAAAGCCTCCTCTTGCTGTCTTCTCTCCTTCTCACTTTCCCTCATACTTTCCAGCTCCTTCTCCAAGTCAGTCTTTGTCTGCAGTAGCTGTTTTACTTCCAACCTACACAAAGAGCCAGAGGCATTTCACAGTTCACTAAAAACAAGGGTCGGTCGGGTGCAGTGGCTCAGTCTGTAATCCCAGCACTTTGGGAGCCTGAGGCGAGAGGACTGCCTGAGTCGCAGAGTTCGAAACCAGCCTGGGCAACTTGGTGAAACCCCATGCCTACAATAAATCACAAAAATTAGCCAGGCGTGGTGGCATGTGTCTGTAGTTCCAGCTACTTGGAAGGCTGAGGCAGAAGGCCGAAGCCCAGGAGGCCGAGGCTGTGGTGGCCACGAGCGTGCCACTGCACTCCAGCCCAGGCGACAGAGCGTGACTCCAACTCAAAATAAAAATAAAAATAAAACCAAGGGTCATTACAGAGCAGGAAGACGTCTCAGAAAACGCCACTCAGCTCCTTTCCTCAGGACTGTGGACGACGGGGCAGAAGGATCAAGACAGGCCTTCATTTCTAGTTACACAGAGCCAAGAACAGACCCGAGGGTCCTGCCTCCCGTTTACTGAGCACATACCGAGCGCAGGGGATCGACTGAGATAGAACCAGAGAAGGCCTGGCTGCTCTGGAGTCTAATGGGGTGGGGCACCACTGAAGTAGTCCCACACCAGTGCACGCCTCACGTCCTCCACGAGCATGCCAGAGCCAGGCAGGGCCTGACACGGGGAAGCGAGCTGCCCTGGACTTGTCTGTGGCGATGCATGGGCAGAGCCTGAGGACGGGGGGATGGCCCAGCACCTCTAGCTCACTGGCTTTCTCACGTACCCCATGTGGCACAGTGGTCACACACTCACTTTCAAGGGAGACTCTGGCTATTTGCATGACTGAACTGGTCAAATCCCACAAGTCTCTGCATTAAGCCAGACAGAGCCCTTGGGTGTTTAGCAGAGTGTCTGTCACACAGAAAGAGTAAATGGTAGCCATAGCCATGTCACTTGATTTCCTAACAGATAATTCCAGAAGTTGTTTGCCTTTCCAAACGACTAGCTTAATTTTAAAACCTTGTCCTGAAATATTACTTTTTACAAATACCCTATCAACTTGCATACATGCACCATGAGAATTCTACTGGAGGTGAAAGGATAGTGGCATTTGAAGGGATTTGCCTTTGGCTGTGAACAGACATTGGCAGACTTGGGAGGCCAGGAGGCACTCAAAGAGTTCTCAGATGCTAATGTGCACACAAATCACCTGGGGGTCTCATTAGATGCAGAGTATGATTCAGAGTGTCTGGGCCTGAGACCCTGCATTTCTAACCAGCTCCCAGGTGGGCCCTGAGATCCTGCTTTGAAAAAATTTTTCTTCTGAGACAGGGAAGGGAGCTGAATTGTCACAGTTCACTCTGTCACCCGGAGGGCAGTGGCATGACCCCAGCTCACTGCAGCCTCCATCTTCTGGGCTCAGGCAATTCTTCCATCTCAGCTTCCAGAGCGAGTAGCTGAGACTACAGGCACATGCCACTACACCTGGCTAATTTCAAAAAATTTTTCATAAAGATGAGGTCTTGTTATGTTGCCCAGGCTGGTCTTGAACTCCTGGGCTCAAGAAATCCTCCTGCCTTGGCTTCCCAAAGTGCTGGGATTTCAGGCATGAGCCACCACACCTGGCCAGATCTCGTACTTCTAACTCATTCCCAGGGACGCTAATGCTACCAGCTTCACAGACCACTCTGAGTAGCAAGTCATTGTAGTCCTTGCAAACTAGAGAGAGAAACATCATTTCAGAAGTTGCCATGACTGGAGAAGCCACATACCACAGGACTGAGTGGGCTACAGACCAGGAAACTTCAGAACACATGGTGAGGCTCTGCCTTTCCAACTCTAAGCTTTGGAAACTACACAGCATCGATATCTTATTTGATCATAGCCATAAACATATTATTGCATTCTGAAACCACACTGCCTAAGAGCGGGTTGCTTTTATATAGACCAATGAAAGGAAATTCCTCTCTAGTGGACAGTTTGAAGGTCCCTATGGAATTCAGCGTGAAGAGACTTAAGTGGTGCCCTCCCACCCTCTTTTTTTAAATTCACTAAAGCTGTCCTTGTTTCACGACTAAACAGAAGTTTCAGAATCATACAAAAGCACCTGTGCAGCAACTACTGCGAGCTGGCACATTCCCAAATTCGCAACCACATTTAGCGCCAGCAACAACCCATCTCCACACAGGGAGGATGCTGGCCAGTCTGGGGCACCTACTCTCTCTCCTGCAGCTGCGTCTGCAGCGCAGCCCGTTCTCTCTTCAGGTTCTTCACGGCCCCGCGGAGACGCTCGTGGTCCTCACGGCAGTCCCCGTGTGGCTGTCTATGCAGCGTGGAGCTGGACGCAGAACGAGCTGGGGAGGTGGATCTCACTGGCTCTGGTGAGAGTGACTTTGAGTTCTCCATCGAACTTAGCCTCTGGAGACAACAAGGCATTTGTTAGATGCTTGTTTCTTTTTACTTTTCGTTTGCGAAACCCAGAAAGGAGACAATGAACCCAGGGAAGCAGGTCCGCAGCAGGGCACGGGAAAGCCAGGCTGTGTGACCTGCTACCTGGGCGACGCCGGATGGGCACATGCTGCTGGCGGAGCGCACACTCCTTAGCCACACTGGGGGAGGCACAGACCCTGTGGGGCATGGTGGGGCAGGTGCTGGCCAAAGAGCCATGAGGACAGAGCAAGGAGGGCACGAAACGGCTTTCCTTAGTGCTCGTGTACCCTGGCGTTTCCCCAGAATTTCTGACATTTTCAACTCTCATTAAAAAAAATAAAATCGCCCTCCAGTCTGGCCAGTGGTACCTACACACCTCTGTCTTCCCACGGCCATCCCCTCCCAGCTCTCAGACACATTTCTCACGCACTTCTGAACCTATGGGTCCCTTTATTTCCCAATGAGCTTTATTTTTTAAATATCCACACTTTATAGAAGCTTCTTATGTTTTCTGTTTTGTAAATATGTAAAACAATTTTTTTTTTTGAGTTGGAGTCTCACTCAGTTGCCCAGACTGGAGTGCAGTGGCCGCTCCCGGCCACCGCAGCCTCGACCGGCTGGGCTCCAGTGATTCTTCCAAGCCTCAGCCTTCCAAGTAGCTGGAACTACAGGTGCATACTACCATGCCCAACTAATTTTTTTTTGATTTATTGTAGAGATGAGGTCTTGCCAAGTTGCCCAGGTGGGTCTTGAACCCGTAGGCTCAGGCAATTCACTCACCTCGGCCTCCCAAAGCGCGAGATTACAGGCTGAGCCACCGAGCCTGGCCTTGTAAAACTATTTTTAAACATATTTTCCCCTCTGGTTTACTCTGCTTAGCCAAGCAACAGAGACGCTAACTTAATTTGCAAAATATAAAGGTATCAACACTCACGACCAATCCCAGTCAAATCAGACTGACTCCTGGTTTGCAAATGCACATATGGGATAGGAGGAAATGTTCAATTTCCAATTTTCTGGTTGGGAAAATGTCGATTGTTAGCCTGGGGAATGCCATCTTAGAGTCCCCCGCTACTTTGCTAGCTGCCCCGGAATGGAAAATTACCAACCAGGCCAAAGCTACAAAACACCCTGCCATATGTAACACCAGGCATAACTGCTTCCTCCCAACCTACTTAACCACAGGCCCTTTCCTTAGTTACCCCCGAGCAATGCCAACGGCAAAATTTTCCCCTCAAGCCCTGTAACTGCCCTAGCCTGTAAGGGGCAACAGGCTTCAGTTTCATCTGGAGTCCCCCTCTGCAGGCCTCTTCCTCGAAATAAGCCTGTGTTGCTGGCAAGCCACTCGTCTCTTGTCTTTTTTTCCCATCTGCTTGTTTTCTTGACCTAACATTGATGAACACAGTTTTCTGAGGACTCAAGTATGACACAAGTGGTGAGTCTGGTAAACGCCTGACAGTGAACAGCCCATGATGTGCCCATGCCAGGCTGGGGTGTTGCCAGGGTCCAGGTTCCTGTGTACCCACCTGGGGCTGCACAAAGGATCAAAGACAGGAGCCACGGGACTGTGGCCCTGCCATCTGTGAGGTGAGGGACGTGAGACACCTCCAGGTCTGTGTAGACCTGGGAGCAGCCCACCCATGCCCTGACACGGGGCTGATGGCAGACAGCACTGCTTACACGCCAGCGAATTTTCCGCCATGCAGGCCTTTGCCGCTGCGGTACATACACCGCCAGCTATGAGTGGTGAGTGGCGCTGGGACATTCTCTCACCTTCTCCAGCTCGGTGATGCGCCTCAGCAGCCTAGGCTTGCTCCACTCCACGTAACCTGAGGGAAGCAGACGCTTTTCAGAAAGCCCAGCGGGTGGTTTCAGCCCGGGACCCCTCCCCCAGCACGGCCGATGCGCCCCTACCACAGGCCCAGCAGCTCGTAGAGGCTCAGGGCCTGATGGGCAGCCTCTTGCCACCCGAGGGCTTCCACACTGGTGATTTCCCCATCCCCTTTGTGAAGAGTTATCGATACTGATGGTCCCCAAGTGTCTCTGTGTGACATTCTTTCCCGAGTCCACCCCATCGGGCTCTGACCTTGTCAGTCCATTAAGAAGGCTCTTACCAAGGTAACCCAGGCTCTACAGTCTGCCAGACCCAAGGCTCAATTCTCAGCCCCCTGCTGCACAGCTGCTGGCCTTTGTCCTCCTTGTGTGTCCAGGACCCTTGCCGGTCTCTCCCTCCCGCTCCGCACACCGCCGGGCTTGGGGCAACCCGCTCCTCTCCTCCCCTTCGCTGGGTGCCCTTGTTCAGTCCCCCCACACATGGTGACCGGTGTGCTCAGGCTCTAGCCTCCGCTCTGCACGCCTCCAGTGCAGCCACTGTCTAGCCCACACTCCAGGCATTCAGACCTCACGTGGCCTTCTCCCCAAACCTGGCCCTCTCTTTCCCCACTCGGAACCGCAGCTCTGTCCTTTCAGTTGCTCGTCCAAGAGCAACTGTCTAGAAGAAAACAACTTTCGAGAAAACCTCGGAGCCTGACTCCTCCCTCTCTGAGGCTCCACCCAGTCTGCATTTCCTATAAGCTCCACCTTCAAGATGCCCAGTACCTGACCACCTCTCACCACCCAGATATTCCTCGGCCAGGCCACTAGCATCCCTTCCTGCATAAGTGCAGAAGCCTCTGCTGCCAATGTCCCCTTCTCTGCACAGAAGCGGGGGTTGTCGAGAACCAGGGCTGACACCTCTGACCTCCGCTCAATCTTCCCAGGGACCTGCCGTGCCCGGGGCCTCCTGCCACTGTACCTCCTATCTTCATTGCCATCCGCTCTTGGTGTGTCTGCCCCCAGCTGTCTGCACACTGGCCCTCACCCCTTTAAGCCATGCTCAGTCATCACGGTCCTGGGCACCTTCCCAACACACCACTGCCTGCCCATCCCAAAATGCGCTCGTCCTCTCTCCTTCATCACGTGCCGCAGCACCTGTAACCACCCGACACACACGTGACTAGAGGAGTCCTCCCTCCCTCCCATGACACCATCTCCACAAGGGCTGTCTGCGTGCTGCTAGCCACTACTCTGTCTCCAGGGCCTGGATTGCTGCTTGGTGTGTGGTAGACGCTCACGGCATTTGGGAATACAGGTCACCTGGCGGGACACATCTGCACTCGCGGCACATGAAGCAGGGAGGAAGGGCCACGGACACAGTATGTTGGGTGGGGCCTGCCCTGGGAGGAGCAGCGTACTGCACCTTCCTTCCCTCATAGAGGGAGATGCAACCTGTCTCCTGGTGTCCCCCCCCTTGAGTGGCCTTTAGGCAGATACCCTGGATCCTGGAGATAGTGGGGGAGTTGCTCAGCACCCGGTCCAGGTCCTCCTTCAGGCTCTGGTTCTCCTCGGTCAGTTCCTGCACACTCCGAGACAGGCTCAGGAGGGCACTGCTCATCTTCTTCTGCCTCTTCACACCAATCTTCTTCTCCCCCTGAGGCCTAAGAACACACAGAGCAAGGGGCTGAGGTCTGAGTGTCTACGCTGGCTTAACAGATGCTTTAAACGAGAGGTAGGCAAGTCACAGCTGCTTCTGTCTGGTCTGTGAGCTCAGAGTGGCTTTTGCAGGTGAATATTTGTGACCAAGTATGTGAGAGTCATGTTGAACCTCCAATAAGCAAAATGGTAACCCCCCCAAAACAGAATTCCATTCTTATTGTCAGTAAACCTGTATAAGAAAATATTGTATTCAACAACTGGTATGATACTTAAATGTTATCTCTAGAAATGCTGGGGAAACTCATTTTCTTTCCTGGTACCAGAAGCTCCCGTAAAACAGCTTTGATACTGCCTCCTATCCCACAGAGTTGAAGACAATGTTGACTCCGTGAATCTGCAGATTCTGTATCTGCCAGTTCGCCTATGGGCTGGAAAGCAACTATAACCCCAAGTCAGCACTCATGGGAATTTTGCAGGAATTCACACAGGTGCAGAGAGATGAAAAATGCAAGTCGCCGAAAGCACACTCCCAGCTGAGGCTGGACACAGTGACACTTCATCTTCTCATTTCAGTTCATACTAAAACAAGTGTCCTTTTTGTAGTCTACTTAGTGCCAAGACTTTCACATTTTTGTGCTTTTATTGATGATTTTGCTATTTAAAGAGGCTGAGAACTGTGGCACTGAAGTATTATCTAGTGTTTCTAAGCTCAGGACAATGCATTGTTAGACAAACTTGCCCAGGTGTGAGCAATGGAGCTGCTGGCTGTGAGTTCAATGTGAATGAATCAGTCAATGGTATCTATTACATAGGGTGTCTTTAAACGGAAACACACATAAGCCAGGTTATATACTGACTGGCTGATAAAAATGCTGTGACCAGGAGCAACGGTTCGGTATTCACGAATTCAGGGTTCATGGAGACTTTATAGACTGTAACTGCCAATAATGAGAATCGACTGAATTTATCATATGGGCCCTTCACAGAAAGTTTTCCAACTACTGTTGAAAGCCATCAGGGGAGAAGAAAAAAGAGAAAACCAAGCCCGGCACAGGTGGATTCACTCTGTGAACGTCAGCAGATGACCGTGGAGGTCATGACAGGGCCCAAGATGTGGTGAGGGATCGCCCTTCCAGAACCCGCTAAAGGCCTGGACCCACACTGTTTAGGAAAGGAACACGAGAAATCTACATGGTAAGGAGAGCCTTAATATTTCTCCTAATACACTTACTTGGGAAAACTTTCAAGTAGCAAGTTGTACCTGTATTAAACATCTTCCACTGTAGATCTGCCTTGAAACACAGCACCTTTAATCTAAGCTGGAACTTGCTATGTAGAATATATACTAATGCATGGGGGCACCGAATATGGTCATTATGAGGGAACGTCTGTGAACGCCCCAAACGGAAACACATCAACTCTAACCATGGACAACATAGGTACAGGTGTTGGCACCACTGCCAGGTTAAGGGCAGTATGTGCCATTTCCTGTGATGACCACACTGCTTTCAAAATAGTCTCCATAACAGGAAGACAGCACATGAACATGGCTCCCAAACAGATCATCATACTTCTTTCCTGTAGTTTCTGAACTTGCCAAGAGAGTCTGGAGACGATGAATCTGTAATACCAAATTAAAATGCATTAAAAATATGCAATGAGGCCAGGTGTGGTGGCTCACATCTGTAATCCCAACACGTAGGGAGGCCGAGGTAGACTACATAGTAAGATCTTGTCTCTACAAAAGAAAAAAAAAGTAGCCAGGTGTGATGGCATGCGCCTGTAGTACCAGCTACTCAGGAAGCTGAGGCAGGAAAATTGCCTGAACCCAGAAGGCTGCAGTGAGCCATGATTGTGCCACTGTACTCCAGTGGGAGACCCTGACAAAAAAACAAACAAAAAATGCAACAAGCATGAAGACTTCCCTCTGAAAAAACTGTAATCAGATTTCTGATTCCTGCCGAGTGGCATGAAGTAAAAACTAAGTTGCAGTGTTCACTTTCAAGTCAAGCTGAAACAGGATAGCAGGCTCCCAAGAGTGCAGCCCTGGGTTGCTATTTGGTCTCACCCTGCCATTGGTGGGCGGCAGTCTCCCCTCCCACCCCATGACCGCCCTCCTGTCCATATTGCCCTGGAGAGCACACACCTCCTCGTAGTATGTCTCCATGGCGATCCTCATCTCTTCTAAGTTGGTGGTCTTCATATCAGTCTGGAGTTTGCTGAAAACCCAAGTTCAGCATTAACACAGCAATGCCAGCATTCCCAGGGACACAGCAGGAGGAAGAAATTCTCAGGACATACAGAGGAGAAAGGACTTTGGAAGAGAATCAGGATGGGAGAAGAAACCTGAGCTGGCTCTCAACTGGCTTATGGCCTTGAACAAATGACTAGTTTCCAGATTGACCGAAGAATTCCTCACACCAAACAGTGTCCCTTCTGTTAGTCCAGCTACTTCCCAAGGTGAGTAAACAGACTCCCTAAACACATTCGTCTCCAAATAAGACGTTGTCCTTAAAAGATTGGATCAACGGTAAAGAAGGCTCTCAGAGATTACAGAGGACAAACCACCTGTGGGGCAGGTGGGGAGAGTAACTCATTTATAAAGAAAAGAGAGTCACCTTCTTCCCTGACGCTGGTCAGTACTGTCACCTTGATCTCAACATATAGCAGACTTTAGATAAGGTACTAACAGAGAAGTGGAAGTAAAGTCATAGAGTTCAGCGCTGAAACATAAAAGAAATCAGCAGATAAGCAAATTCATTTCAAGTTGACAAAATCCAGCAGGAAACAAGCAAGAGGGGAAACGATTGTGTGAACAGAAGACATGAGGCAACAGACAGCCAAGACAGACTCTCCCTTCGTGCTGAGAAGACAGGTGAAAAGGAAAGACAGGTCAAGAAATGTGGAGCAGCCACACCAACACCAGCATGAGACGGCGCGGCTAAGAGGCAGCTGGGGAGGTGTCTAAGGATGAAGCGCTTCTACCAAGACGTCAAGATCTACACTGGAAATAAAAAGTGATCCACAGAACATTAAAGGGAGGAAGCATTTCTTCACATATCAATAAAAAGTTAAAGGGAAATACTGTTCTCTAACGACATTTGGAGGCATTTAGGGTGGAGATGGGGACACAGGACGAGGCTTGGCAGGGAAAGAAAGTCGTGGTAGAAGCAGAACAGACCCTACGGGGAACTGGAGACGGGGAGGGCACGCCCTCCGGGCAGTGCAGGCCCCTACTTGATGGTGCCGTCCTTCTCCTTGCACTGCTGCTCCAGCCTGAGGATCCTCTGCTTCAGCCCACTGATGACCTGCCGAGGGAACGCCAACATGTCAGGTCTGCCCAGGCAACACGCCCGCAGCCTCCTGCTCGCCCTCTGGAGACTCAGCTGCCCCTTGCCGCGACCCACAGCCTCTGCGCCTCCTCCAGACCAGAAAGCTGTCGCACTGAGCCGCCCTTCCTTCGCTACCGTCTTCTCCTCTGACCACAGGCTCGGTGAAGAGGGACGGGCCCTGCTGCCCTGTCTTCTCCTTGTGGGAGTGACTGAGGGGGCAACACCTGCTGGAGCAGGAGGCGGTGGCCAGCACGGGACACCACGCTTCAGGAAAGGAGGAGTGCTCTCGTCATGTTAAGTGGAGGAAGCCGCCACAATCACCATTAGTGGACAGGTCACCGACCACGGCCCTCCCAGCACAGCCCAGCTCGCAGGCTTCACGGGGAGACTGGTGCTGGCAGAGGCAGCCCGGGACCTCGAGAAAACCCTCGCCTCCAGCTCCACTGGTCTCACGACCTCCTTACCTGTTAACGTCTCATTCTGGGAGATAACACCCTTATACTCTTTAAAGGGCATTCTTTTCTATTGAATGGACACGTTCAACTGGATTTTAAGTTATTAGTAATGTGTGAACACATTTTCTTAAACAAATAAGATGTAACAGATGAGGCCAAAATACTTTGACCTTGCCGCACCCGTCTTCACCCAACCGACTCTCGTCACCAACCCGTGTGCACCCAACGGAATCAGGGAGGGATTTCTGCTATCGTGGAAATAGGGCCTACCAGACATGCCACTGTGCAACTTGTTTCCTCTGAATCGACAAACCCTCTCAGTGACCTGTCACTGCAAGTGCCACATAGCCACATTATTCTTCACAGTATAAATATACCACAGTAAGCCGGGATAGGCAGCTCAGCCTGTAATCCCACGCCTTTGGGAGGCTGAGGTGAGTGGATTGCCTGAGCCCGCGGGTTCGAGACCCGCCAGGGCAGGCAAGACCTCATCTCTACAATAAATCAAAAATTAGCCAGGTGTGGTAGTGCGCACCTGTAGTTCCAGCTACTCAGAAGGCTGAGGCGGAAGGATCGCCGGAGCCCAGCAGGTCGAGGCTGCGGTGGCTGGGAGCGGCCACTGCGCTCCAGTCTGGGCGACAGAGTGAGACTCCAAAAAAATAAAATAAATTAAAAAATAAAAAATAAATAAATATACCACAGTAGATTTACTCATTTTCCTATGGATAGGTCCTTAGGCTGTAACCAGTTTTTGCTGTGACAATCAATTCTCTGGTAGGAATCCTAGGCCAGGCCTTCCTGTGCACACCAGCAAATGCTTCATGAGGGCAGATAATCAGAAATGTCCACTCACAGGGCACAGCCACTTGGAAGGACACCTTGCCATGGGTATTAAAATGGACACTGCATGCGATGTGCCCTATGATCTAGAATTTCTACTTTAAATCAAATTTGGAGCACCAGTACTTCAAAATCAACGAAGTCCTTTCCAGGAAGAAGCTGCCAGGAGAGACTGCTTTACCACCACAGTGCCTGGCTGGACACTGGCAGCAAAGGCTGTAGAGGGAGCACAGTGGGGCAGCCCAGAGGCAGAGCCCACCAGGGAAGACAGAAGAGGCACCCTGCCATCACCTTGAAAACTGGGCAGGGAAGTGCTCCAGCTTGCTCACCACAGCGCAACAGACCTGACCCAATCTCTGTGACCAGCAGATCAACTACTCAGGGGTTGATCATGACCCAGAGGAAATATCCTAAAAGCACAAACTGGAGGGACAGGACGGTGCTGAGTCTCAGGCGCCCCACCCCCTGCCCTGATCCAGCCTCGGGACAAAGGGTGTGGCCAGAAAAGGAAGAGGAAGACCTCCCAAGAGATCAGCAGGGAGTCAGGGGCTGACTCAACCCCATCCTCCCCAGCAATCCTCTGAACGTCAGACCCACACGGCTGGGGCGTGACCGAGAGGGACAAACCCAGGTAGAGCCTGGACATCAGCGGCCACAGGAGGACTCCACTCCGGGATGCGTCAGGCTGGGGCCCCCGCCAGCACCTGAGGAAGAGACAATCCCACACCTCCCCACTGACCATACTAAGGTGGGGGGGGACTGCTGCCCCATCCACCTCCACTGCCTCCTCCCCCCTGCCCTGACACTGGAGAGACTGTGCATGAGGCCAATGCCCTGCAGGAGACAGCAGAAGGGCAGCTGAGAGGAAAAACTACAGGACCTGCCACAAGAGGACAGGGCTTTTTTTTTGCTTTTTAAATTTTTAAATATTTTTTCTTTGTGCAGAAATGTGTGTGTTAGGGTTCGATCTGCATCTCTCCCCTTTTTTCTTTTTTCCTTCATTTTTTGTTTTCTGTTTTTGTGTGTGCATGAAGGATTGAGTGTTCATCTTTCAGTTTTCTTGTTTTTGCTTTTTTGTTCTTCTCTTTTTTTAGTTTAATGTGTGTGTGAACACATGTGTGAGGGTTTGATTTGAATTCCTTTTTTTTCTTTTCTTTTCTCTCTTTTTCTTCTCTTTTCACTTTGGGTTTGGCGTGTGTGTTTGGCTTCCCTGGGTTTGTTGTTGTTGTTGTTTTTTGTTTTGCTTTGTTGTTATTCCAGTTCATTTAGGGGTGTGTGTGTATGTGTGTGTGTGTGTGTGTGTGTGTGTGTGTATAATTGTTTTTTGTTCTGGTTTCTGCTCTTGCTGTTCTGTGTTTTTTATTTATTTTTATTTTTTAAAAGACATTTTGTCCATCTTATGTAATTCTATTGTTCTCTGTTATCCTCACTGTTGACTCTGTATCTTGGGCTCAGGGGGCACACACATGTACCCATTGCACCATAATATACAGTAGTGGTGAGGAGTGAGTCTCAGGGAACCCATACCACAATCAGTGAACACTGTAATTTGCAAGTTGTTTCTGAATTCTAGCTCCCCAACCACCACCTTATTCGACTCTCAAAACTACAAGAGACAGCAAAGCTTCCTACCCACAGACTTACTTCAAAATAGAACAAATTCAGAGCCCTGATCAGGGAAGAATAGAGAGATGGGCAAACATCAGAAGTGAAAGCCTCTCCCACTGCCAATGAATAATGGAACTAAAGAGAAAAGAAAGAGATCTGTCACAAATGAGGGGAAAAAGAAATCAATGGAAGAACACAGGTAATTCCCAGTGTTACAAAGAGAAAACACCTGAAAAATTAGCCCTCAGAGTCCAAACAATGGAAGTCACCAACCACTGGCCCCAGAATACAACAGGGATTAGGGAATGGATGGAAAGAGTGAATAAGACTCAAGAAAGACAAGAGGCAACACTGAAATAACTTGTAACACAGATTTTGGCCATAAAAAATTTCATCTAGGAAATAAATAACAAGATGGCAAGCATGGAAAGCAGACTTAATCAAGCAGAAGAAAGAGTCTCAGAACTTGAAGACCAAAACATAGAATTAACCCAATTTGTAAAAAAAACATAGAAAGAACAAAGCCTCCAGGAAATGTGCAATTATATGAAGAGGCCAAACCTACACCTGACTGGTATCACAGAAGAAGAAAGGGAAAAAGAGAACACCTTGGAGCAAGTATTCCAGGAGGTTATCAAGAAAACTTTCCCCATCTCACCAGAGACATGACCATCCAAACACAAGAGATACCAAGAACCCCTGCAAGACATCAAATGAGAAGACCAATGCCTAGACACATAGTAATTCACTTACACAAAAGTAGGCACAAAAGAAAAAAATCCTAAAGGCAGCAAGAGAGAACGGTCAGACTACCTACTGGGGAAAACCAATCAGAAGAGAAGCAGATCTATCAGCAGAAACACTACAAGCAAGAAGGGACTGGAGTCCAATATTCAAAGTCCTCAAAGACAAATAATTTCAACCAAGAATTTCCTACCCAGCCAAGCTCAACTTCATCAGCGATGGAGAATTAAAATCCTTCCCAGACATCCAATCCCTAAGAGATTACGCAACTTCTAGACCAACTCTACAGGAGATGCTTAAAAAAGTATTAAGCACAGAAGATAGAAAAAAAGAATGATCACACACTTCCCAAGAGAACAGCAGGACACAGAATTAACAGAGAATATATTGTGATTACAAACTTGAAAACACACACACATCAACCCAAAACCTAAAAGAAAACAAAGAAAAACTTTATAAGAACCTCATAACTAGGATAAACAATCACATTTCAATAATCAGCCTGAACGTGAATGGACTAAATGTAACACTGAAAAGACAAAGAATGGCAAACTGGATAAAAAACCATGACCCAATAATTTGCTGCATCCAGGAAACTCATCTTACCACAAGGGACACACACAGATTCAAAGTTAGAGGATGGAAAACGAGTTTCCAGGTGAATGGGTCACAAAAGAAGGCAGGAGTCATGAGGCTTAAATAACAGACAAAACAACCTTTAAGCTATCAAAAATTTTTAAAAGATATGGAAGGATACGACATAATGATAAAAGGTTAAATCCATCAACAAGAAATATCTATCCTAAACATATATGCACCCAACACAGGAGCACCAGCATTTATAAAGCAACTACTAAGTAAACTAAAAAAAGATATTGACTCTAATACCATCATAGCTGAGGACTTAAATACCCCACTGACAACCATAGGTAGATAATCGAGGCAAAAAAATCAACAAAGAGATCTGGAACCTCAACTTGACACTCGACCAAATGGACTAAATAGATACTTACAGAATATTTGACCCAACAATCATAGAATATACATTCTACTCATCACTACATGGAATGTACTCCAAGATTGATCATATCCTTGGCCATCAACCAAACACAAACAGATTTTATAAGATCGAAATACTGCCATGCACCTTCTCAGACCACAGTGGAATAAAAAGAAATATCAACACCAACAAAATTCTCCCTAAACCCACAAAGACATGAACACTAACAGTATGATGCTGAATGACTACTGGGTCAACACAGAAATCAAAACAGAAATTAAAAGATTCCTGGGCCAGACATGGTGGTCTACACCTATAATCCCAGCACT